CCTCCACCTCCACCTCCACCTCCACCTCCACCACGACCACCACCACCTCCACCACCTCCTACACCTCCACCTCCACCTCCACCACCACCAACACCACATCCACCACCTGCACCACCACCACTAGGAGCCCTTGCCAGAACATTACAGATGGTTAAAGAGGTGAAGCTAAAAGATGACTGGTGAGAGGGACTAACTTCCTCTGTCTGTGCCATCAGCCTGGTCTCCATCAGAGATACAGTCACAGAATCTGAGTGTCCAGGAGGGAGTTACTGTTCCCAGGGGGGTAGCAGGGGGTTCCTCAGGAGAGAAGACTGGTGCTGGGAGGCTGGGGGTTGGGGACCACATGTCCCCAGCACAATGTTTCAGGCAGGCCCTCTCTCTGGGACCTGTTGGCTGAGTGGTGTCTTAGAGTCCGTGTGTATTCTCTCTGACTGCCTGGGCAGCCTCTCTCTTCTTCCCAGGTGACTGTCCTATGACACCTTTGTCTTTCCCATGGGTGGGCCCAGGGAGACAGTGGGCATCTGCACTGGCACCACCTACAACACAAGTCTCCCACGTCTCAGGAGGGCCACACAAGCCTACATGCAGGAGGGCCCCTCTGGGTCTATTGGGAGCAAAGATGGAAATCATTCTCCACCTCCACCTAAGCCAACAGCCAGGAGTATGTCTCAGGGGAAATCATTTGTTTCCTGTGTTCGGTCTCCCTGGATGACCCGAGGAGACCTGCGGTCAATCTCTGGGGCTATACCAGGCATGCTGACCTTGATCCTGACCCTGGATGAGACAAACTGTGAGTCAACGTCAGGTCCTGTTCCCTGTGGGTCTGCAGGCTGTTCTGCAGTCCAAGGAGAGGATGTGAGTTGTCCAGGGGACCCTGGCTCCAGGGTCGAGAAGACTGTTCTCCTCGGTGGCTGTACTGCCCAGGACGAGCTTTCTGCCCCCAAGATTTTCAGGAAGGAGCCCGGAGAGGTGTTTGAGACGGCAGGACTGGAAATTGACCCAGGAGTCTGGTCCCCCGTGTCCTGTGTTGCCCCCATGACTGCACCGGGGCTTGGCAGTAAGGCACATCGGACCACCCAAACGCCAAGTCAAGGGCTGAACTGTTCTTGCTTTCTCTCCTGGAGGGAACAGGTTGGCAACTTCTCACCACATGGAAGATACAGGTGAGCACAAGGAAGCGTGTGATTACATGTCTATCAGGTCATTTGCCCCTGCCTCAAGGCCATCTCTCAGCCTGTCATCCACTCAAGTCGTCCCCCTAGGGCCCAGGCCCTGGAGCAGTCCCCACTTGGGACTGGGATCCTGTCAGCTTCCTGTTACGGGAGGCGAGGTCCCAGTGGGCTCTCAGTTCTCTGAGCTGAAAGCAGAGACACATCCCATGCAATCCTGCCTTCACCTTGCACGGGGTGGAGGGGGGTCTCCCTCACCCCAAATCTGGGGGCAGTAGAGTTAGTTCAAGGAACGAGAATCAGGTGTTTCCACAGAGCAGATCCTCTGGGACTGAGGAACTGCATCCTGCTTTACTCAGGTCAGGAGGGACCTCAGTACTCCCTGGTGGGAGCCCACTCAGGGACTTTGGGTCTAAAGCTTAGTGTCAGGTCAGGGCTCTGGGAAAAGAGGAAGGACAGGCCCCCAGGACAGGCCTCCAGGGAAGTGTGTAGTCTCACAAATTAGAGATTGTGGGGAGAGGATGTCGGTCAGTCTCCTGGACCAATCGGGTTCTGGCCTGTCATGATTAGGAGGCCCCCAATGTCCCTCCTAGCTCCATGTGGATGAAGGCCCAAGTCACTGAGGCACCCTTGGGCACTCACTGGCCTCCTCTCATACAGATACAGGTGCCCTATCTCTACACAGAATGCTCCCCCACTCCCAGGAGTCAGATATTGGGTACTGTCTCCTCTCACTAGAAATGAGTAGTTCTTGAGCATCTGTTATGGGTCAGGTCTCGGCTAGGCCCTGGGATGCTACAGTGTGCACGATAGGTGTCTTTGGAGGGAACAAAATAACTGTAATGGAGAGAGGCGTGGCAGGGCATGGATCCCTGTGTCTGAGCTGATGTGGGATGGCAGAGTTCCTCTACGAAGTGAATTTTGGGCTGAGCCAATAGTATGAGGGAATGCTTCTTATTGAAGGACAGGGTGTGTGGTGGGGGGAGCCTGGGGCAGGAGGAACGGCCTGCAGGTGGTCAGGGCGTGGACCCATGAAGGAGCTGACAAAGTCCAGGGGGGCCTGGGGCGTGGGGAGAGCTGGAGTGTGAGGAGGCCTGAGGCCTGAGGGGATGCTCCTGAGATTCAGACTCTGCAGGACTGTGGACCACACTGGGCGGGGTGGGGGTTGGTCAGCAGGCCTCTGTCAGAGGGGCGTGGCCAGCAAGCTCCAGGCTCAGAGTAGCTGTCTCGCCCTCTGGTGTACAATTAGCAAAGTGTAGAGGGAAACGTGCCTTTGCCCAGAAGGTTGGATTTTTAGTGACATAATATAAAATAGTTCACATAACGTAAAATTAAGCATTTAAAAGAACCCGACAGATTCTTACTCCACGTGATGCTCTTCCATCCTCCCCGTGTCCTCTGCATGGTGCTTCCTCCGAGGGCCAGGGGCCTTCTGCCCATCACAGGTCTCTACACAGTAGGTGCTCTTTCAGAAAGGAAGGCAGACAGAACTCCCGTCTAGCCCCGCCTGATATGGAAGGGGCAGGAAGGCACATCTCTGTGTGTGTGGCCAGGAAGGGCCGAAGGGCTGCTTTCCCAGGAGACTCAGTGGTGGAGGGGATGGGGGAGATAGTGGTGGGCTCTGAGGTCCTCAGGCACGTCCTGGGTTTTAAAGATGGTCACACGGGGCATCCCTGCTGTTGTCAACACGCAGACTCACCAGCATGTGCAGATCCGAGGGCAGGCCCTGGTCCAGTTCCACTTGTAGGACATCTCCAGTTGGAGGGTTGGTGGCACTCCGTCAGTAGAGTTTCCTTCATTTGTGTACGGCTGGGGCAGTGCTGACCGGCACTGCTTCCTTAGACCTGGTCTCCCAGGGAGAGGTGTGTCTGGCAGGCAGGTGCCCTCGTCAATTCAGGAGCATGTGCTCCTGCCCAGGCCCCAGCAGGCCTCCCTTATTTCAGGGCTGCACCGCAGTGGTCCTTACAGAACCTGGTGTCAATCTGAGAGGATTATGAGTGAAGGGGTGAAGTCTGACCTGTCAATCAAGATAGAACCAGTGAGGCCTCCATGTGGCCATGAGTCCTGAGAATTCTGGGAACTCCTGGACGTCCTCCTTGGAGGTGGGAGACAGACTCTATCTCTCTCTGCGCACCACCTGTGATGACGCCCTACTGACAAGGCACATGGTGCTGCACCATGGGAGCTGGAGAAGGCACATGGACCCACCCTGATGCAACCAGAGCTCTGGAGCCAGAGAAGCCATGTAGTAACCCCTGCCACCACTGGATCCAGAAGACTTCCAACCCACTGGCCTGTCGTCTTCCTACAATCAGAGTCATTGCATGTGTTTCGTGAGTCACAAGAGGACTTTATACATTGGTATCAGACATGGACTTGATCTGGATTGGGCTGGGATGCTTTCTCAATATTCATTTTCTCTTTCTTATTCTCATTTGAGTCTCTGTGAATATGTTTCTCTAGTCTACCCAGACTTACACAACTGCGATGCTTTATTCACCCTGGGGGCTCAGTGAGAGGCTTTCTCCAGTGTTCATATTCACCAGGGGCTTTGCAATGAGCATCCTCATGCACTTGTCTGTCCCACATGTGGGTGTTCATCCCACCCGGGGAGCACATGTGCCTGAAGCAGTGTATGCTGGGCTGTGCACTCATCGTTTGTCTCAGCCCACACAGCACAGTCACAGTCACAGTCCAGCCGTAAAAGAGCTCACAGTTCTGAGAAATGAGATTCTAGTCAGAGGATGTGCATGCTGTTCAGAGATCAATGTTCAAATGGATTTGTATGAAGGTGGCACATGCTAATTTCCATCCCAGGCCTGACGTGAAGGAGACCCAGAAGTAGACCTCACACTATGATGACAGAGGTCATCCAAATTTCAGGAGATGGCTGCGGTGTCCACAAGAGATGAAAAAGGCTGAAGGTGGGACATATAGATTGGGGAGAGAGTCAGGGGGTGAGTATTCAGATGTGGGTTGTGAGGAAGGGTCTTTTCCCATTCCAGGCAGGAGACCCTCCATGAACACCGAGGTCACCTGCTCCATTGGGCACCCGAGTGTGCGTGTGTGGAGGGCCATCTACGGTGCTGACAGGCTGGGCCTGAGCCCAGGAGCAGGGCAGGACCAAGTCTGCGGGGATCAGATTTCCCTCTGTGGGTGGGTGAGGATGGGAGTGAGGAAGATGTGGTGACTGTGAGGGACCCTAGTCAGTTTCTCTTCCCTTGTGGTCACAGGCAGAGCAACAGCAGCAGGGCCTTGGCCTTGGCAAGGAGTCTTCCGATAGTCTCTCGGGTGGGTTGTCTACTCTGCTGGGTGGGTTGTGACAAAAGCCCTTGAAACTAGCATGAGACCCCACCTGCAGGGTGGAGGACAGGGTCCCAGGGCTTAGTTGACCTCAGCAGCCCCAAAGCCTTGGCCAGGGCTCAGAGACGAGAGCTCTGTGTTTAGGGAGCTCCATGAGGGGGGATGGCTTGTGGTTCCAAAGGCAGGGCCTGGGCTCAGAAGTTAGGCATGAGAAAGTCTCCCCATGTTGCACTCAGAGAGGCCTGCGTCTCAGGGCAGGGAGACTCCCTGAGGCGGGAGCAGGCCCTCAGCCTCCCTGTGGGTACAACACTCAGCCCTGCAGGGTGTTGCAAAGGATGTGGCCAAGGAATGCTATTGCCTTTTTGTTTCCTTTTATTCTTAGTAGCTCAGACCAGTGGAGGCCGCCTTTGCCCAGGATTTGCAGGGCAGCATGAGGAGAGCTGTGCATGCTCCTGGTTCAGTCCTGCTCTTGTGAATCCCACTCTTTCCTGTAAGTGTAGACCCCTTACGTCAGCTCCCCATTTAAGTCTTCCAGGCAATCAGAGTACCGTAGGGATGATATTTCCTGTGGGTACTCAGGGAAGAATGAACATGGATCTTCAGGGGAGTCTTCCCAAAGAAAGAGATCCCATGGTCACAAAATGAGGAGACGGATCCTCTTTGTTCTGTGTCTCCCCATGCTGCAAAGAGGTCTTGTGTGGCAGATGACCTAATGCAATCTGGTTTTGATCTCGACTGATGCTTCTTTAGAGAATTGCAAAGCAAGGGTGTTACTCATAAGCACCTCAAAATTGCACCTTGAATAAGGGAGTCTGAGGCATCTGGGGGCTGGAGAAGAAGATGGAAAGTTCCATGCACTGCTCCCAGTACAAGCAGATCTGGCTTGGAAGTTGCAGTGGCCGGAGTGCCCCTTCATGGCTCAGATTCCGAGACATGGTCTCAAATGCTTAGGACATGTTTTCAGGAGAGGCCAGTGCCAGCAGAAGGACAATTCTTGGTCAAATGGAGGGGGTGGGGCGGGGAGTGAAAAGAGGTAGACCTCAAAGAGCTGCCTTGACTCAGTGGCTGGCGCCATGGGCTCAGCCATTGAACAAAGTGAGCATGGTGCAGGATGCGACGGGGTTTCTTCTGCATGCACAGGGTTACTTTGACTCGGAACTAGCTCAAAGACGCACCAGCACAACATCACCGGAAGACAGACAACACTTGGGCAGGGTCAGCAGAGCCTGTGGCGGTGAGCTTTCCTCTTCAGCAAAAGGATCAGCTCTGTTTGCAGCAGGGCTGACAGTGGGCTCTGGAGGACTTGGAAGTACCTGTCAGGACATTGCTGGGTCCTGAACTCTGGCTCATGCCCACCATGAGTGACCCCAACATCCCTTCTTGGTGACTGCCCATCACCTCCCTGACACCCGAATGCCCTGAGGGCTAGACCTGTGCACACAGGAGAACGGCAGAGGTCCCGTCAGGGAATCGAGGGCCTGGATTAAGGGGACAGGTGAGTTTCCTTGTGAAGGACAGTATGTCAGGTGGCGGCCACCAGTGCCGAGGCTGAAATAGACAAGAGGGCTCCATACACAATGACTGAGAGGGTCCGTGTCTTTGAAGCATCACCACCTACGGTAGCTTCTGCACTGTCCTCTCTGTGAGGCCTTCAGATGGCTCCATGTCCTGGGCTAGCTGTGTTCCCAAGGACCAAGGTCAGGTTCTTACAGGGGATAAAAGAATGGGCCCCATGTTCACGTGAGTTTTATGAAGGTATCATGTTCATGAGCAGAAAGAGACCAAATGAGAGGGAAATATCTCAGTAGTCAGGTCTTTTCCAGATGGTCTGTGGTCACCAGATTGAGGACTACAGTCCATTGCCCTGGAAGCCCTGCCCTATTGCAGGCAGCGGGTTGGGAGGCCTTTTTCCTGACTCTGCTTGAGCCCGGGTTGAAATGGTCACCTCTTCTCGGCCTCTCTGAAACAGGTCTTGGAGACATTCTTCAGCGTGGGTGGATCTTACAGTAAATGTTTGTGTCAGGTTTAAGTAAATCCTGTGAACAAACAGAAAGATTTAGAGGACTCTGAATCACCTGTGACCTTCTCAGAACATGTGCCTACTTTTCCCCTCTGCTCGGAGTCCCACCCAGGTCTTCTCTGCGAGGGGCCTGGCTTTACTCCGGGAGGTCCCCCTTCTGGGACCTCTGTCTGGTCAGCACACGAGCAGTCGCATGGGCTACTGTTTGCTGAATTCCCGGCAGAGACGGGTGCAGGGGGGTCAGGTTGTGCTCTCCCTTAGGGCTGTGGGTCTAGAACATTCATGGCCCACACTCACCTCATAGATGGGAACAGCCGCCTGGTTGGCATACAGGGGGTGCTGTGCAGGAGAGAGGGAGCACATTAGAGGCAGGTATGGTAGCATTTGTTAAGGCACAGCTCCTCGTGAGCATGTGCCAGCAACCTAGTCTGGGCGGTTCTTGTCCATGACACTCCAGGGTTCATACCCCTGGATGTTCAGATCACTTCTCATCCGGAGTGACCAATTCTGATTTATGATCATCAGTCCTTTGCCTGTAACAAAACCTCATTCCTTCCTGCTGCATCTCCACCACTTCCCCTTCTTATGCTGGGATTCATGATTGTTGCTCCCAGAGACCACTCTTGGCCTGTGGGTCCTCACTTACAGGCACCAGCTTGGATGCTGGGCGGCACAGATGGGACTGGGACAGGGTCCCGGATAGTACCTTTTCCTCAGTGGAGGCCCAGCTCTGGCCAGGGCAGGTATAACTGCGTGGATTTTCCTTGAAGGAGTGGTGGGTCTGTGCTACAAGTGGAGCTTGCAGTCCCCCTGCCCAAAGCCTACACAGCCTACAGGGACCCCATGTTGAAGTGAGGTGAAGGGATTGAGCTTACCATGGAAGCAGAGTTGTCAGATTGATCACGACCTGGTGAGCAGACAAATGAGTTAGCACTATACACAGGGTGTAAATGAATTTGGGATCCTTAGAGGAGTAGAAGCTGATGGGTTCTTAGTCTCCAGAGATTTGGGGCCATGGGATTATCTCCTAGGGAGAGTAACTTGGGATACATTAGGATTAAAGAAGGAATAATTGAGATTGAGGCATAGACTGGACCCTAGGTCCCACAGGTTAGAGCTGACATGGCCACTTTGAAGATCTCTGACTTGAGGCTTCTATGTGTCCCTTCCTGAGTCCACAGGGAGGTCAGAGGCATCAGGGGTGGTGGGCAGGAATGGACACCCAGGGAGACCTCCGGCTCCCAGTTCGGCAGGCTGAACAAATACTCACCAGAGGTGGATGCCGGGGGCTGCTGATGTCCAGGATCACTCTGGCTGCTGCCCAAAGGAAAGTCAGGTTACTTATGAGGATGCAGGCACAGGTCACAGGGTTTGAGGTCAGAGCAGGGGATGAGGAAGGGAACCAATTTCCTGTACGGGGGCTCGGGGTGCCTAGTTCCTCTCTCCATCATGGCTGTGGTGGAGGGGGAGTCACACACAAGGAGCTGAATGAAGACCTTCTCTGGCTGCCACCCAGGGATTCCTGACCCTTAACCACCTCTGGATGGTTTCTGAGGCTCTGTTGAAGGGAGTGGAAAGCCTGGTCTTTCAGCCTCTGAATGACTGTTGGTTTCAACGGCTGACCATGTGCATCACAGCCCAGCATATAAGTACTGCACCATCAGGGCTCCCTATGAAGACCTGAAGAAGCTATGTTGACAAGGGACTCAGAAGAAAAGGATCCAGAAGCAGAGGTCACTCCTGCAGAACTCTGACCCACAGGGACACAGAACACAAGAAGGGCATTTCCAGTGACCACTTGAGTGAATTTGGACAAATAGTAGGAGCTCCTGTTGGCGGAGTAGAGAGCCCCGCTGCACAGTGGTTATACGCTGGGCTGCTAATTGCATGGTTAGCGATTGAAAACCACCAACCTCAATTCCACCTTACAATTGGATTAGACCAGAGCATACACACTGCTATAGATAAGAGGCTGCCACACAGTGAAACCAGGATAGATAAACCTCTCAGGGACAACCATGAGAGTAGAGATACCTGGAGGATTAGGGGAGGGTGGATGGACACAGGGGGAATTGATCACAAGGATCAAGCTCTAATCCACTCCCAGGGGGATGAATAACACAAAAGTGGATGAGGGCCGACCATGAATGATGTAAGATATGGAAATAAAAACTATCACTTATCAAGGGTTCATGAAGAGGATGGGTGAGGGACGGGGAAGAAATGGGGAGCTGATATCAAGGGCTCAAATGGGAAGAGAATGCTTTGAAAATGAGCATGGTGGCTTATGTGTAAATGTGCTTGAGACACTGGAGGAATGTATGGATTGTGATAAGAGACATAAGAGCACCCAATAAAAGTATTAGGGGGGAAAAAGAAAGAAAACCACCAGCCTCTCCTCGGGAGAAAGGGGAGGCTTTCGACTCACCGTAGGAGGTACAGTCTGGCGCCCACAGGGCAGTTCTAGCCCATCCTACAGGGGGGCTGTGAGTCAGAAGCACCTTGCTGGCAGGGAGTTCCCTGAGAGCTCACTGCCCCAGATCAGCACTGTGGGCTGTGGTCTGAGTGAACTAGCGCTGCACAGAGGAGCGGGGCCATAACTGTCCCTACTCTGTAGACAAAGGGACTGTGAGGACCAGTCAGAGGACATCCAAAGGGAGAGAGGAGTCTGGCTAGAACAAGAGGGGAGGTTCCTTGGGAGAGGGACAGGGGCTGGAGAACAGGGAGAGCCAGGACCCCAATCTGAAGGTGGAGCCTCCTTCCTCCTGGCCTGGGATCAGTCTAAGAGCAGGAGGTGAGGTAGGGGGTGAGTCCACCTACCCTTTAGTCCTGGTGCGGAACAGGAAACATCCCAGGGCGGCGACCAGGAACACCCCAACTGCAATCACGATGCCGGTGATGGCCCCAGCAGAGAGGACCTGACCTCCTTCAGACCCGACACCTGCAGTGGACAGAAAGAATCTGGACCAAGATCCAGCCTGGTCAGTGTCATCACCAGCAGGTGGATCTGAGTACATGTTCCCAGGTAATGGTGACACCTCATGGGAAGAGACCTTCTCTTCACCAACACCCGTTTATACTGAGGAGCAACCACTCTCCCCACAGTGGCCTTGAGGGCTGAGCCCTGAATTGCACTCTGTCCTTTAGGGAAAGCCATCCAGGAGCACTCAGGCGTTTTCAGGACTGTGAGTGGGATAGGAAACTCCTCTGAAAATGTTTGTGTTCGTCTACTGCTGGTCCTCGTCAGACTCTTAGCTCTTGGGCTCTCCAAGCCCTCTCCTCACCTCTGCGACCCCTGGGCAGGGACCTCTTAGACAGATTGCATCCTGTCAAGTACATTTCACCTGTGTCTTATCATCATGTGACTGTCCCGTGAGCTATTCCATTGACGATTGCCAAGACCGGGCCCCCTCCACAAACGGAAAGGAATGAAGAAGCTGTGGTTCCAGAAAGTGGGTCTTGTGCTGGGCTGTGCTCAGAGCCCTTCCTTATTGCATGCAGGTTCTGCCTCTTGGTGGGGAGGAGCCTTGTTCCTCTACTGTGCAGAGGGTGCACTTGAGAGCACAGTGACGGGACAAGCGGTGGATAGGACTTGGTGGCAACAACTAGGGCAAGGTTAACCCTGGGACACTTCGTTTCAGAACAAAATGTTCCCACAAACTGGTGCGGCACTGCAAGCACTGATTGTTTGATGCCAACAAATCTGAAAAGCAACTACCTAGCCGACGGATAAAAACCTAAATCCTGAGAGCTCCCTGCTATTGAGTTCATTCAGACCAATGCCAGTCCTGTAGGACACAATAGAACTACCTTGTGCATATCTGAGTCTGTAACTCTTTACTGCAGTAGAAAGCCTCATCTATTTCCTGAAGAGCAACTGGTGGTTTCAAACTCCTAACCTTGTGGATCGCGGCCCAATTTGTAATCACTATGCCACCAGATGATCCATATGTGTGCCTGTTCTAAAGAAAAGTGGTCCAACAAAATTTGCAAATTGCGAATAATATCATTGTAGCATCACATACAAAGAAAATCTTGCTGAAGATAATTCAAAATCAGTCGCAGCAGTATATGGACAAGGAGCTGTTAGAAATCCAATAGGAGTTAGAATAGGACATGAAAGGAGGTATATCAATACTGATCTCAGAAAGATCTTGGCTGAAAGCAGAGTTCCAAAAAGATATTTACTTGTGTTTAGTTGGCTGTGCAAAGACATTGGTTGCCTGAATCCTAAGAAATTATACATACCATTCAGAATAGGAATTCCAGAACACATAATTTTGCTTATACGGAACCTGTATAATGAACAGGAGGCATATTTTAAATATAGGAAATGAGGGCTGTGTCTTTTCACCAGACTTATGTAATTCATGGTTCAGAAGCTCTACGATGTAAAAAGGAATGATTCATCAGGACTGGAGGAAAGCTCTTTACCAACCTGTGATGTACAGACGATGCCATCTTGCTGCTGAAGGTGAAGAGGACGTGAAGCACTTCCTGATGAAGAGAAAGTACTACAGCAGTCCACGTGGATGAAACTCAATGGAAAATAGCCACAACGTGACCAATAGACAAGAGTACCACACGCACAGGGGAGGACTAAGTTGTCAAGTGCTTCAGCTAAGGTGGATCCAGCTAAGGTGGATCCACAGTCAACACTCATGGGAGCAGCAGTCAAAAAATGAAGCACCTATTACATTGTGTAAATCAGCAGCCTAGATCTCCTTAAAATGTTACGGGACAAAGATGTCATTATGAGGCCTCAAGGGCGCTTGACCCAAGTCGTGGTATTTTCAACTGCCTTGTATTCACGTGAAAGTTAGACAATAACTAAAGAAGACCCAAGAAGAATTGATGCATGTGAATTATGATGTTGATGAGGAGCACTGAACGTGCCATGATGGCCAGAAGAACAAGCAATCTGTCTTGGGTAAACACAAGCATCATGCTGGCTAAAGTTGAAGGGACTTGAAAAAGAGACAGACGCTCAAGAAGGTGAATTGCCCCGGCGGCTGCAACAATGGGCTCAAGCATCACCCTGGGGATGACCCGGAACAGGCAGTGTTTGCTCCGTGGTACGCAGAGTTGCTATGAGTTAGAGCTCACTAGATGGCACCTAACATCACAGTTCAGAATACAATTGCTGGAGGAAGGTTTTTCCCACCACTCATCCTCTGATCGGTTGTATGGTGCAGGAGCTCTTGTCCAGGGACAGAGCCATCCTCTCAGTGAGCTGAAAGCTGTGTCCACTGTGGAGTCAAGAGGTGGAGGTTTAGTGTGGCTAAAGAGACAGGCCAGGACTACAGCGGTCTCAAGTTCGGACACTGTGATGTTGCCAGCACACATGGAGGACTTTATCAACGGCTCTTTGAGAATCCAAGGTGACAGTGAGATGGGGCTTGGGGCTGAGGTGAAGACAACCCTTCCCTCACTAGGTAATGGGTGCATCTCCCTGACTGAGCTCTGAACCACTGTGGAGTATCAGCCCATGACCTCTCCTGAACCTGTGTCCAGCAGCCTTGACATCAGGTGGGATACGTGACCCCTGTGGTCCTTTCTCAATGCTTTGTGTGACTATATAATGATAGGTCAGTTCTCTAGTGGACACCTTCATGTATAGAGAGAAGCTGGGTTCACAGCTCTCCACCTCTGAGTTAAAACCCAAACCAAATGAAAATCACTGCCTGCCACCCCCGTGAGGTTCTGAGACTTCATCTCTTTCAGGGAGTAAAAAGCCCCCCCCCCATCTTTTTACCTCTTTCTGGGAGAAGAAAGCCCTCATCTTTTTCTGAGTGAGCAGCTGTATTTTCAAATTGCTCACCTTAGTGTTAGCAGCCCAACAAGTATCCACTATGTCAGCAGGACTCCTCTGGGTTATGACAGTTAAAGTTGAGGAAGGGACGCCATTTGGATTAAAAAATAATAATAATAACTTACACAGAATTGAGGTGGGCCCAAGGCAAAACAGTCTTCAAACCCTATCAGATGGACAGACTTTCATCTGAAAGATCTGTTACACTGAAAGACACTTTTACTTTCTGGTGTGTGGATGGACTAGCAGATACTGGAAACCCATGAGGGAAGTGGTTATAGTTTTCACAAGAGACTGGTATTCTTAGACTCTTCGATTAGGACATACTTGTGCAACCTTCCTTGAAGGGATTCATGAGAAAATCTTCCCATTCTTCCAAATGTAATTAATGACTTATCATTCTACCTTTTACACAAATGAACTCAAGATAGATTGAAGACCTAAATATAAACCTTAGAAACATAATGGCTGTCAATCAAAAACAGAAACAGCCTTAGGAACATAACACAAGGCATAACTATACCACTGGACATAATGAGAAATACCACAGTATAGAAAACAAATTAGAGGTCTTGGAGTTTCTGAAAATTTGACATTTAGGAACATCATAAGACTAAAAAGAGAACACACACTGGTGAAAAATACTTAGCACCAATATATCTGATAAAGGGCTCATTTTAAACATCCTAGAAAACTACAACACCTTAATAAGAAAAGGACAAATAACCCAATCCAAAAAATGGGCGCAAGTCATGATTAGAAAATTTACTAAATGTGTAAGGCCGGGTTGACTAGAGAAACAAATCTAGTGACACTCATCTGTGTGTAAACAGATTTATATCAAGAAGTCATTATGTATCAAGAAACCAACCCAGCCCAGGCCAACTCAAGTCCCTAAGTCTGATACTAGTCCCTAAGTCTCTCTTCCGACCCACACAGCCTCATGCAACGATGCAGCATGCAGGGAGATCCCAGGTCAGGGTGTGCCGTCGTCATGGGGACCAGAAGTCGGTGCACACATGGCAGGACTGCAGCAACTCTCAGGGTGGCCAGCAAGGAAGAAGCTCAAGCAGAGAGAGAGAGAGGCCAGGCTACAGAGAGCCTTGTATGTCAGTTGCACCTCAAAGGGAGCTCATCAGGCTGTGACCTGATCCACAGGCTAAGTTCCACCCATATCTTCTTCCAGGTGCCACGTTGGCCAAAAAAATAAACCTAACTATCACACTAAAGATGATTCCAGGCTGCCAATAATCATCTGAAGAAACGCTCTTGTTCATTTGCCTTATGAGAAACACAAGTAAAAATAACACTGAGATACCACCTGACATGGACAATCAGCAACATTGAAAGAAATAACAAAGAAAAAATACTGGAGAGGATGCGGAGAGACTGGAACCTCCATACAAAGGGCGGGTGGGCTGCAGAGTTGTACATCCATCCGGAAAGCTGTGTAACCTTCCTTACACGAATGCAAACACCTTATGATCTTGCCATCGCCCCACTTAGAAATAAAAAACACAACACAAACTTACGTAGGCACACCTATGTTTATTGCAGCAATTTCTATAATAGTGGAAAAAGGAAACAGTCAAAAACCCTGAATAGAGAGGAATGGATGAACAGACTCTTGAACACTCACACAATGGAATACGGTGCATTCTCAATATGCAATGAATGGTTGTTGAATCACATTAAGACAGACACAGTATTGGAGAATGTTGTGTTCAGCAAAGTTAGTCAATCTCAGAAAGACAAATATTTTGTGACACCATTATTGTGAAGGAGAAAAAGAAAAAAATCATCATGATACCATAGGACAAGACCATGAAACCAGGATGAGGACTGGAGGGGGGCAGGGAAGAGGGACTGGGAAGGAGGGAGGAGGGAGGTGCGACTAAGGGAACCACATGCAGGGCAGTGTAATGGGGACAGCCTCTGATTGGATGAGCTGGGCTTTGAACCTTTATAGACTATGTCTTTCTTTCCACACACTGATTTCTGCAACGAAAAGGGGAAAACATAGATGAACAAATACAAGCAGGAAATAATCCAAGCTAAAGTTTTGTGAGAGAGAGAGAAGTCGCAGCATTGAAACCGCTCCAGAATCCTTACCCTTCTGACCTAATCAA